AAATTCAATTCCATGTTAAAATGTTTTTGATTCAAATTCCTGATTTACAAGAAAGATCTGTTATTCTTAGATGAATGTCTGCATTACGTAGAGTGAGACTCAGAAATCTCCGGAATAGGAAGACGACAGTTAGACTAGAGACATGACTTGAAATTGTCCAATGAGCACAAAACACAGCAATTGTACACAGTTTTTAATTGATTTAATAAGTTCGTTTTAAAACTATATTTAACATAAAGAACAATAAATATGTTTTTTTTAGTCTATAAATCAATTTTAAGGCAAACAAAATCCATTTTTAGTGACTTTTACCCTTTGTACTCTAGGACACCTTGCACCATATACTACCCTGAACCATACTAAATCTCTAGTGTCTATTGTCTGTATAAGCTGATATAACTGTATTGTATTCTGGGACACCCTGAACCATACTAAATCTCTAGTGTCTATTGTCTGTAATCTGTATAAGCTGATAGAACTGTATTGAATTCTGGGACACCCTGAACCATATACTACAGCTCTAGAGCCTATTGTCTGTATAAGCTGATAGAACTGTATTCTGGGACACCCTGAACCATATAATACACCTCTAGAGTCTATTGTCTGTATAAGCTGATAGAACTGTATTGTTTCACACAATTAGAGTCTATAGAGTTCTGAGTTAAGAAGAGGGAATTGGAAAGGGGGTGAAAGGATATGACAGGAATAGGAAAAAGAAAATCAGAAAAAGGGAAAAGAAAATGAAAGAAAAAAGGGATTTGAAAAGGGGGATAACACGATATGAAATGTATTAGAAAAAAATAAAATAAAAGAGAAAACGAGAAGGGATTTGGAAAAGGAGGGGGGGGGGGTAAAAGATAGGAATGGGACAAGGACATACAGGTCTGCCGCTTTAATAATTGTAAATTGGCGGTACAGTACAAACTAGGACCGCAAAGGTTGGACCAGTTCAAATATTCAAATGTACACCGCTGGGGCGTGAGGAAAGAGAAAATCAGAAAAAAAGGGAAATTAAAAAAAAATGAAAATGAGAAGGGATTTAGTAAGGGCGGTAAAACGTTATGAAAGATGAAAAGGAAAGAGAAAATCGGAAAAAAAGGGAAAAAGTAAATAAAAGAAAAAGAAAACAAAAATGGATTTGGAAAAGAGGGGTGGAAGATATAAAAGAGTAAAGATATAAAAGGGACTTGAAATTGGGAAAATGGAAAGAAAGATAGTGGGCAAGTCAAAAGAAAATAATGGAAAAATTGGAAATGATGTATATTACCCAAGGAAAACATGCATTTGGAAAGGGGAAAAAGAAATATGAAAAGGGTTAGGGAAAGGCAAAATATCTAAAAAGAGGGAAAGACAAAAGCTTTGAAAGGGTTCAAAAGAAAAATATGAGTGAAATAAACTGCATGTAGGTTTGACGAAAGTAAAGTATAACAGTATGCAATCACATTAAAAAGAATAAATTATAAATTATACGCATTTCATACTTACCCTTATTTTTGTGAAGAACAAAAATTGTATTTCTTTTTATTCCCATAGCCCATAATACTGATCGCTTAAGATCTCGATATCCTCAATGGACACTTTTGAATTTTACGTACACTCTGATTGATCATTGCCTACTTACTTGCGTACTTACTTGGCTGTTCGTTTTCTGCTCTTTATGGCAAATTGAATTAAGACTAATTACTCTGTAGATTAAGAAAAGATCGAGATCATGTAATGATCTTGATATCCATACTACTGTAAAGGTGTCGAGGTGTTGTGATCTTTTGACGATGTTATGAGGATAAAAATATTTATCCCTAGTTTGTATTAGGGTTTCCACGAAATGGCTAAATCTTTTGCGCAAAATTTGCGCTATTTTCGCGCAAATTTTATTTTTGCGAACTTTTGCGCTATTTTTGCGCATGAAACGCAATGAGTTTTGCGCGGTTTTGCGCTATTTATTTTGCTCAATTTGCGCAAAACCGGAAGTTGCGCATGAAACGAAATTTTAGTTTTGCGCAATTTTTTTTGCGCAATTTGCGCAAAACCGCAAGTTTTACGCAAAATGTAACTTTTTAGGCACATTGTCAAAAATTGATATTCTAAGCTTAGAATTAAACAACTGAAGATTTATTCCATATACAAAAAAAATATTAACATACGAGTATGATAACGATTATACTTCCAGTTACAAAAAGTTTAAATTAAGGGACCAAAATTAATAAAATAGAAATTAGAGAGTGTGAAACTTGGCAATATTTTAATCCTATTGAATAATTTCAAGTGACCCGGCCTTAAAAGCTTTGCTTAATCATGAGTATGAATTGTATTCTTAAATTTTTTTAATCAAATTTCTGAAATCTTTTTAATCTCATATAAAATAATGCAAGACTGTAACCAATGCCTGAAGAATCCACTTTTAGGAAATATGCATGTCCAAAACTAAAATTGTCGAGAAAATTGTGAGATTTGAACTCTTCTTAATTGTCATTGGTCAATTATGTAAAAGTGACCAATAGGAAGACATTCCAAAACAAGATTTTTCCAGAATTGAATTCTAAGAAACACACACCGTCACCAACCGTTTGATTTTTACGAAATTGCGGATTTGCGCAAAACTCTTGTTACGGAATTGCGCAAAACTTGAGTTTCGCAAAAGCGGAATAGGGCAATTTTGCGCGAAATGACTTTTGCGAATGATTGCGCAAATTGTTGTTTTTTCGCGCAAAATTGATGCGCAAAGAAAGAAAAATATTGCGTTTCGTTCCGCAAAAATTGCGCAAAAGTTTTGCGAATGGAAACCCTAGTTTGTATCTGTAAATAGGATGGCGGGAAATTCAAAGTTGGTTGATCCGACGCTGGGAAGGGGCCCGGGTAAAGAGCCCAGGTTCATTCACCTGGGAATTTTGTTAGCATTACGGATTCCCAGAAAGGAGGGAGCAGGTCAACCTGTACCTGATCCACAGGCAGTTGGCGACGAACCTTCACATCAAGGAGTTATAAGAACAATGGATTGTAAGTCGGAACTCAACATAAACTTCATTTCCCAGATAATTTGTATCAAGCATCGTTTGTTATTTTTATCATTTAATAAATTATCTGTACCGTAACTCGTTTAATATTTGGTTAGAATGAACTTAGTTTATGCCCCTCTGCACTGGCTTGAAAGAATTTGTCCTTCTATCATATATTACACTACAAGAGTTTCCAGCTTAAATTTCATAAAAAATAAACATTTTCCTCACTATTAAAGTGGGAGGGAGACAGTTCTGGTTACAGAAGGGAACTGAGTTGGAACTATTCTGTTTGGCAGAAAACCTTCTGTAAGATGGGTTTGAATAATTTAAGAATAAATTTATGCAAATCTCCTTGCTCTACAAATGGTAGCTATCATCATAAATATGAAGAATAAAACGCTCTGTATATATATTTCAATTTATACAAAAAGAAAACCTCTTTTACAGAACAACAATATTTTTGGGCCGAGTTGACAAGGCAACATTTCTTGCATGTACACACACTATTCCTTAAACATTTCCTAGCTGTGATTTCCCAGACTGACTAACCAAGGAAGTCACAACTAAATCGCAGGCCGCAGCTAAACAATGTCTAACGAATCTGAAATTAGATAACTTATATAAATGTATCACTGAACACAGGCAGCCGAAGTTCATTTGAATTTCCGAGCCGGGTCAACCTTTCCGGACCCAGTTTCTAATGTACCTAGCTCTATGGACAGGACCAGCCGGTGCAACAAGGTTGACGGGGTCAGACTTTATGCTTCATATTGGTTGAATTTACTTTTACTAAAGGGGCAGAGGTGCGTGGGAACTTCCGAAGTAAAGTATTTTTAAAATAGGGGTGCGGGGGGTGCCCAAGCAATACACCGTAAGAAATTACCGATGCTTATTGTATTTATTACAGTGTACTATAAATAATAACTTTTCTTTGTTAAATTGTTTCAATTCAAAACTAGTTTTGGTTGTAGTCTCCAATATCATCAAAGTTGAATGTTTGAAAAGGAGTCTGGAATTAGTCCAATACTGCCCAAAAAGAACATCTTTAAGTGGAAATCCTTCAGGCTTACTTGTGTTTATTATTTAACCCTATAAAGGCTGGGGGGGTCTAAATCTATATTTAGCCTGGGGGGGGGGGGCGTTTGCCTCACCCCCCTAGAAAAAGGCATTAGGGGAATATTTATAGGGTTGAAATGCACGTGCATAGCCCAATTGTTAATGGCCAGCTCAAAGAAAAAAAATTAGACCGATAATTTTAATAGTTAGGGTAGGGTTCTAGGGAGGGTGGAAAAAATGCCTGAAAAAAGGTAAAAAAATGAAAAAATATTTTTTTTTGTTTAAACAGATATCAAAGTGTTACACATGTTTCTGCATGCATTTTTCAAGGGCTTTTCAAAAATATAGTTTTAAGATCTGTAGCTTCAGTCACAAAAAACTTATGGGCTATTTTAGGTTTTTTTCACAGACCGGACTTTTTCCGCCCTGTGTACCCCACCCTATTAATTAAAAAAATGTTTTTAACAAAAAATCCTTTAAATTTCTATTTAATAAAAGTCACAAAATTTCACGATGATAGTGTCAAAAATGAGAGTGCTAAAATAAAAAAACACTGGGGGGGGGTGGCCGCCAAACGCCCCCCATCCTGTTTAGGGTTAAAAAACTTGGGTATTCTGTACAATTTCACACTTTTGTAAAATTTTCTTTCAATTTTTAACTTTGTTAAAACTATTAAGCTTGGACTAGTTGAACTAGAATTATTTTATGCATTTCTAACTTTAACTAACTTTTGATCAAATCAACTCTATAACTGTTCTGAATGTTTTTATTGACACTTTTCATTAAAGCAAGAAAAAAATTTGCATGGAAAAGTAGTAATTCATTTTGAACTTTTTTAAAACTTTTATCATCCAAAACAATTCTCTCAAAGAATCCTCGATAATGTTAAAATAATTTAATATATTTTTCATTAACAAAATATAAAAACATAATAAATTAAATAAATATAATGCCCAAACTTTATAAAAAGTTAGATTGCACGTAAAGAAGAATAATGTTTAACTATTGTCAACATATTCAAAATGTGATATAAATTTTTCTCTTATGTTGAAGTTTTTTTTTCTGAAAAAATAAGAAAGAAGATAAAAATTGAAATAATTTGAGTTTGGAGGGCGTTTTCAAAATTAGAACTAAGCTGCTTGAAAAATAAAAAATGTTTGTCAATTACTTCTTCAAATAAGACAATAAAACGACAAACTTAAAGCAAGGGAATAAAATGTGGAAACTAAAGTTTTATCAGTGGTTGTATCAAAGCATAAGCCAGGGGATGTATTTAGTTGGTGACTGTGTATCTTAGCCTTTCCTCTTCAACCTCAAGGTTCCTTCCCCACAGGCTCTCTGCTAGAGAACAGTCAACATTGAACCACCAGTCACAGACAAAATACTGCTGTTGGAAGAGGGTTCCATTAGGGCAGAGGAAACTGTACTTAGTTAGTCCACCCTGACCATTGTTGGCACAGATATGGAAAGCCTGACATTCTGATTCAGGATCAGCATAGTATCCTCCATCCACCTGACCATCACACAAGAAGGAGGTCTCAGGAACTTCAGAGAAGATTGGGTAATCATCTCCGGGTACCCCAGGGATAGCTGCAGACAGGGACTCCAAGGACTGGCCCAGGGCAGGGGAAGACAGACCAACAACAGCTGAAATAAAACAGTTATTGTTATAGAAAAGACCAATGCTTTCAGCTGCACAATGTTTCTTCAGCGAACGACAATAGCTTTGATATAAAATAATGGGGTTCGACTATAATACCAAATAGAATGCCCAAAAAAGTTTCATTTCTGATACTTTTTTTGATAATTTCGTTAATATTTAAATCTTGTGAGTATTTAGGATGGCAGTTATTGGCAAATATTCAAAATAGCGAATAATTCAAATATTCATGCAATTTATGAATGGTATGCATGGGCCATAGGTCATCACTATGGAATACTTCCGTCCGTTCAGAAAATGCCTTCATTTCCGCCCAAAGCAGTGCATTTCTAACTAAACCCCTGCTCTGCTACAGTAAACAGTAAATAAGCATCATATTCAGCTCATGATCACACTAAGATATGGATTGAGATAATTGGTTTAAATTTGAAAAAGTGCAATCAGGGTCATATTTAGGAAGTTTTACAGGGGGTTTAATTTTTGTTTCTTTCCCAGGGGGGGGGGGTGGCTCAACATCCGTTGAGGCCTGAAATCATTGATATCACTGGTGCATGGGTTGGTTGATCCCCCTATAGCCCCCCCCCCCCCTATTACTCAGAAGAAATGTTTTCTGTCTATGAACAATATTGATTTCGGAAATTAAAATTTATAATCATAAAAATCACATAAAACAAACATTGATTACAAACTCAAATCACACGAACTTTCAGGTTTAGAAGTTTTTCACCGCAATGATAATTGATAATGAGTTTGTGCATTGCAACATTTGAACTTTATTCTATAGTTCACTGAGCTAAATATTTACAAATTGTAAATTTGAAAAAAATAATAGTATCTGAAGGCATTGAGTCTTTACCACAAACTCTGGTTTTCTAATTCCTATCTTTACAACCCAAAATATTTCAAATTATAAATTTTCTTCGTTCAAATAATAGAAGTTTGAAATATCAAAGGTTTTTCCTTAGAAGGTGGCGAAAAGAAAAGAAAAAAAATTTTAAGTGCAGAATTGTCAAAGAAACTTGTCAGTAACTTTGTAAACAAAGTTCTCAATAGTAATTCAAATTCATGATTTGTTCTCATTTGAACAGGTTAACGATCACTGAGGTTTCCTAAATGTGGTCTACCAATTTAATCATGAATTGGTTTTATTGGATAAATACCAACATCAACAAAAAAGGAGAATTATTAAGATATTACCAAGGAGGGTATAAAGGATAATTATTAAGATATTATACGAAGGAGGGTGTAAAGGAGAATTATTAAGATATTACCAAGGAGGGTATAAAGGAGAATTATTAAGATATTACCAAGGAGGGTATTAAAAAGGAAAATTATTAAGATATTTTCAAGGAGTGTATAAAGGATAATTATTAAGATATTACCAAGGAGTGTAAAAAGAAGAATTATTAAGATATTACCAAGGAGGGTATTAAGGAGAATTAACCAGATATTACCAAGGAGGTTATAAAGGAGAATTATTAAGATATTACCAAGGAGGATATAAAGGAGAGTTATTAAGATATTACCAAGGAGGGTATAAAGGAGGATTATTAAGACATTACCAAGGAGGATATACAGGAGAATTATTAAGATATTACCAAGGAAGGTAAGGGAGAACATGTTGAAGATGAGGAGAGTGAAGATGAACTGATACTGGTCAAATATCCTCATCATCTTATATATACATCTCATCTAGAACAATGCAAGTCTAGGGGCGATAATTCAAATTATTAAATTTTGAAAAATTAGATCAAAATACAAATTTTTGACAGATCTTTGAAAATTCTAAATTTTCAGTTTTTGTGTGCAAATTCGAGAAATCATATTTGAGGGGGTTGTCTGACCACCTGCCTACACCCTCTCCGAAAACCTTGCAAACCTGGTCCCGTATGTATGTATGACCTTTGAACCAAAATACCGAGATTTTAGCAAATATATGAAAAATTGAAAAATGATGGTTTGCAGAGCAAACTTTGATCCTCATCCCGACATAATTAATTTATGCAAAACGATAATGGCAAAAACATTTAATCAAGCCAACCACCGTGCAAATTCATGACTTGACATCGTGATCGACAAATTGTCGATTTTGAATCCAATATCGAATTCCAAAACTTATCAAATTGTGTGGGGTAAAATGACCCCTCAACCCCTCTTTTAGTTCACGCTAAACTTTTTGTTTTGATTCTGAGGTTTTTGTTAATATATGTATTTAACCAAATTGTTTTGATCTTTAGAATATTTTTTTCGGAAAAGATGGAGAAAGAGGAAAATATCATATTTTGTACTTAAATTAATGAGATTCAAATATGATGTTTATTATTTTTGTAATGATAAGGTTGATAATGGGGGGGGGGAAAGTTTGAGAAAAAGGAGAAAAACAGAAGAAATGCTGTGAGAAAACGGAGTGATGTTGGTGGAAGGAGGGGAAGCAGGGTTGGCTGGAAGTGGTAAAGTAATTTAGGGGAGAGGATAACAGATCCCAATAGAGATAATATGGGATAACAGATCCCAATAGAGATAATATGGGATAACAGATCACAATAGAGATAATATGGGATAATAGGTCCCAATAGAGATAATATGGGATAATAGATCCCAATAGAGATAATATGGGATAATAGGAATGAGATGATAGGAATAAAACAAAAAGGCGTATACTTGAACAGTTTCACAGGAAGTATGAAAGTCATACATGGATAACCAGAAAACTTTGAAATATGATTACGAATTTCAGACTCAGACTATAAATACTCCAAAAAGCATGGGACACAGATAATGTTCGGTGTTAAACCAATTTCACTCAATTAGTGTTTTATTATGCGTGTAGTAAAACTATTTGCTTTGTAACAACATCAAATACACTAAAGTAAAGATATAAAGTAAACCTCTGTTTATATATTTTTCTAGTTATCAATGTACATGTAGATATTTGTTTCTTTAAAAATTCGTAAATTTTTCCCAATTGTGAATCTTTTAAACTTACGGGAAAAAATGTATCAAGTGAATGGAAAAATTTCAGATCCGGGGTTTCATACAAACAATATATATTGGACAAACAAAGAAATATTTTAAATATTACATTTGTTCTTCTACCTTTACATTTTTAAACTATTCAGCAGACTTTTTTCATTGTTTTTTAGAATTTCAAAACTTGTTTCTCATCATGGGCTATTCAGAAAAACGATAAGTATAATCGATAATTTACAAATGTGCAGAGAAGACCATTTTAAGCAGAATTTACTGTTGTCGCTAGAATCTCTCTAGAAGGAGATATTTCATTCGGCGTCCCGTCCCATCTTGTCTTTTACAGCCATGTGCGTGTACTGTACTGTACAGACAGCTCTAGCTGCTTAACACCAGGCCCGGTACTTGAAATGAACTGGAGTTTTTTAGTTCCTTTTAAACTTGTATTTTCTTGTCAATAGTTCTTCAGAAAAAAGGTTCTTTATCCCGAGAAACGATGTTGAGTATAGATAAAGATAAAGAATTGTGGTAAATGACCCACCAGGGAGGAAATCGTAATGGGTTGAATGTGTTCAAGGAAATGAAAAAAGTATTCAATATTGCAGCAGCAGGGTTGGTGTAAAGTTAAATATCTTGGCACAAAATTAAAGAAAAGCTATAAATTGGACCCAAAAAAATGTTAGAACTGCGCTCAAAATTTAAGTTAAAAACTTATTTCTTAATTTAGTGTTTTTTTCTTCTTTTGGGAGAGGGAGGGGGTAATGAAGGGGATCGAGGATATGAGAGG